AAGGGGGGGGGGATGAATCGTTTTAAGGTGGGGGGCATAGAGGATACACCATGTCCCCTCATATTTGGGGGGGAGGAGATTCCCACAAAATTGGGAGAAAAGGGGGTGGGAGAGAAAAGGCACTGAGGGAAGAAGATGGGGGGCGCAGAGACCCTTCAGCCCCCTGATTTGCAGGGTGGGGGAGAAGAAAGGAGACCCCCCCCTCAGAAATTGGAAGCAGCTCTAAGAGGGGAAGGAGAGAAAAAGGGAATATAAAGGGAATATTGACACCCCCCCCGAGAATGAAACGGAGGAGGAATCCCTCAGGGAAGACAAAATAGGGGAGGCCCCCCCACCTCACGGAGGGGGTACAACGGCCTCCCCCCCCCGCCTCCTCCCTGAGGAAGCCCCCACAAAATGGCGGCCGGATGACAAGATGGCGGCCTAACGTGGGGTGGGGGGGTGTTGTGTGGAGAGGAGGGCGAGCGGCGGGTCTTACCATGGCGCCGGGCGGTTGAGGAGGCGAACAGAAGGAAGAGGAGGCGGAGGCGGCGGGGCTTTCGGTGGTCCGGGCTGAGGCGGTAGGTGTGGGTTCGTCGCCTCGACAGCTCCGCGGCGACTTCGACTGGCGCTGCGAGACTGGCGAGGCCCGAAAGGAACTGCAGCCCCGCCCCGCCTTGGCCCTTCCGCTTTAAGGCACCGCCCGAGGAGAAGCCGCTTCCGGCCCGGCGGCGCGGAGCATGTCGGGAAAGCTAGTCCAATTTCTCTGCCCCCTCCCTCCACTTTCCTTCTTTTCGGACGCCAGGCCGCTTTCTTGTTGAATGGATGGGCGGGGCGACGGGAGTGCGTGGTTGCCATAGGAACGGGAAGCCATTTTCCCCGGGCCTTCTCATTTCCTTCATTCCAGCTATTAAAAAAAAAAGTCGAATTAGTATTATTATTATTTTAAAAAATCAATAATTCTGTATTAGTCCCTTTGGAGATGACTAAAAACATAGTACGAGCTGTCTTTTGTCCCTTGCCTGTCTCCTCGTGGGCGCTTGAAAAGGCTCATACGACGTCCCGGGGATACATGGGAAATGTCGTTTTTAAAGACACTGAAAAGGGAGGAAGAAGAGAAACTGGGGGAGACAGTGAATTAATGATATTTTTTTTTTTTAAGGAGGGAAGATGTCACTCGAGGCTTATTTTTTTTAATTAAAGACTTTCCGGATTATTTGCCGGTTTAATTCCCAAAACTTCATGTAAGAGGCACAGCTAAGCTTGTGCAGAACATTTTAACTGCTTTTTCCTTGCTAAATAATGCTTTGATCTGTTCCAAATGCCTCTTTACAGAATCGTAATAAAGAAAAGAGGGGGAAATCTTTTATTTTTTCCCCCAGATCTTTGTTCACCTTTTTCTCCCAACTTGATTTTGCAGTTCAAGAGGACAAAGTTTTTATTTTGAAGTTATCCGGCATGGATTTTAAAAAGCCATGGGAAAAACAGTTAGAATGGAAAAACAATCTTTTATTTAGGAATAAAAACACAACAAAAGGAGGAGAGGCAGTTTCAAAAATCATAAAACTTTTTTTTAACTGGGTTGAGCTTCTGCAGAGTGCAAGGATTTTTACATAATAAAGAGAAAAGATACTTAATCTTTATTTTCACTTGAAAATAATTTTCGTAATGATTTCAGCATAAGCAATGTCTTCTCCAAAAATGCAAGAGCCTCTTTTTTTTTAATTTTTAAATGTCAAAAGGAAGTAGGTTTTTATTGATTGGCTGATTGATTATATTTCCACCAGCAACCTCAGAAGAGCGAAACAACTCACTTAGCAATTTTTATCACTACCACAACTCTCACTGCAGCAAGAGCCGAAAAACTAGCTTATGCACTGAGTGACCCACCATTGCTTCAAAGGGAAAGCACAAAGCTAATGCTTAATCCAAATTAAATGGTTTTCTAAGTTGCCTTGAAGCATAAATGAAGAAAACAAGCTGGGTTGGCAGAGGGGGGGGGGGGGAAACTTGATCAAGATAGCCCTAACCGAAACCATGATTTACAAAAATGCATTTTGTAGGTCTTTAGCAGTGAACACAGTTCATTTGTCTTACTGTACACGTAGTCCTTGACAATTGAGCCCAAAATTTCTATTGTGAAGTGAGACATTTGTTAAGTGGATTTTGCCCCATTTTAACGAGCTTTTTTGCCTCCGTTGTTAAGTGAATCCCTACAGTTGATCAGTTAGTAACCTGGTTGGTAAGTGAATTGGGCTTTCCCCATTGACTTTGCTTGTCAGAAGGTCGCAAAAGGGGATCACGTGACCTTGGAACCCAGAAACAGTCATAAGTATGAGCCAGTTGCCAAGCATACAAATTTTGATCACACAGAGATGCTGGGAAGGTCGTATCTGTGAAAAACGGTCATAAGTCCGTTTTTTGGATGCCGTTGTAACTTTGAATGGTCACTAAATGAACTGTTGTAAATCGAGGACTACCTGTACTTTTTTGAGAGGGGCAGGAACAAAGGGGGAACTGAACAAAGGGGAGCATCATCACTTGAGACTTTCAAGAAGAGATTGGACTGCCATTTGTCAGAAATGGTGTAGGGTCTTCTGCTCAGGCGGGTGGGGGTTGGACTAGATGACCTACAAGATCCCTTCCAACTGATTATTTATAATCTGTAATCTGGACTTGAACAGTGACCGAGTATAATTCATCCTAAATTAAAATAAATAAATAAAATAAAATGAAAAATAAATAAATGCTAAAATGGGCCGGAGAACACAGCAGGTTCCTCCAGATTTCCTAGATATGAGCAATGGGTGAAAAGCCAAGATTGCCCCAATGACAAGGGCTGGCCAGAATCCAGCAGGTGCAACTAAATCAGCTCTCCAGCTCTCCGATGCTGCTGAGGAGGAGAAACCTTGAAAGGTATAGAAAGAAAAGTCATAGCTTTGCAGTTTTAAACTCTTTTGCAAAATCCCCACACCCTGCTAAGATATTTTTTTTAAAAGAGAAAGAAATAGAATGACTAGATTTTAACAGAATAACAGAGTTGGAAGGGACCTTGTAGGTCATCTAGTCCAACCCCCTGCTCAAGCAGGAGACCCTACACCATTTCTGACAGATGACAGTCCAGTTTCTTCTTGAATGCCTCCAGGGATGAAGCTCCCACAATTTCCGAAGGCAACTTCTGTTCCACGGGTTGATGGTTCTCTCTATCAGAAAATTCCTCCTTATTTCCAGGTTGAATTTCTTATTCAGTTTCCATCCATTATTATTCCTTGTCTGGCCTTCAGATGCCTTGGAAAATAGCTTGACCCCTTCCTCCTCTCTGTGGCAGCCCCTCAAATATTGGAAGCCTGCTCTCATGTCTCCCCTGGTCCTTCTCTTCACTAGACTAGCCATGCCCGGTCCCTGCAACCATTCTTCATATTTTATTTTGGAAAAAGAAAAGCAACAGACATTCTTTGAGAGAGAGAGCAGCACTCATAAATTATATGCCCTTTTTAGGGGGCGAAAAAGGCAATGAAAAGGGTTCTGGTTTGCCAGCAGGAAAACTGCCCAGTTTAAAAACAGCGTGAAGCAGAAACAAGCATACCCTGAATATTTTGACTGGGTTCTGCCCAAATTCACAAAAACCCTGTTTAACATCAATCCAGCTGCATTGTCCTGTTGGGGTTTCCTTAGTTAACCTTTTCTTTTTCTCCTTCGACGCTCCACCACTCTTTGAACCAAAACAGGGGAGGGCATCGAAGATGGGGCTTTGACCAACATATCCCTTTTTCTGGTCAACTCTTAACTTGGTTCAAAGCTCAGCCGCTGGAGCCGCGTAGGCAGGCTAAAACCTTGCCGTGGGTACTTTCAAGATGTTATGCAAAGCCAGCTTGGTTCCTTGAGGGTTCAGGCTGTTTTCTCAAACCAGGAAGTGGGGTAATTCAGGAACCGAGTTAAGGTACTTGAGCTCTGCTGAGCAATCATTTGTTTGCTAAGCTACTGCTTCTGCCCAGGTTATGAGTCTGGGGTTTTCCACTATGTTTTATTCCTTCTCTTCTCTTCTTTCCTTTCCTTTTTCCTTTCCTTACATTCTCTTCCTCCTGTCCTTTTCCCTTCTCTTTCCTTCCGCCTGTCCTTTTCTTCTTCCTGTCCTTTTCCCTTCCCTTCCCTTCCTCCTGTCCTTTTCCCTTCCCTTCCTCCTGTCCTTTTC